ATTATGAATGATAAATAACGAATGTTATAAAAGCAATACATAAGTATATTTAATAAGAGATAAAAATTATTACAGAAAACACTTTATATGTTGTAATCTTGTGCTAAAGTAAAGTGTAAACAACTTTTTATACTGCTGGCTGGTACAAAGAAGGTAATACTTAGTATGCACACATACGTATAGTTATATGTGCCCACCAAGCAAGTACACCTCGACTATAGGTATACTCATCCATAGGTGTACACCTTAACATTGAGGTGTAGGTGTAGTACACCTCTGCAGAGTTCATTGCCATGCCTGGGTATAAGGTATCTACATAGGTATTGAGTTCCGCGTGCGCGGTCTTCCACCAGCTGTTGCTGCATCTGCAATCTGCGTATACGCGGTACGATGCTGCTCTAAAGTGGGTGCTCCGCGTGCGCGGACTCTTCCACTGTTGCTGCATCCGCAATCTGCGTACGCGGTACAAGACATCCATATAATTACAAGTCAGATACTTCTCGCGCGTGACTAACGGACTTGCGTAAGGAATTGGGATCAGTAGCGCAATCTCTTAGCTGTTTGAGAAAATTGTACCATTTTTATATGTACTCCATCCATCTATGTGTTTATTGTATAGGTACTCGTTCTTAAAGTCTGCTCGAGCCAACCTGACGGCAAAAAAGCACCAATCTAGTTTGGGGCACAATGTCGCCGACTCGGGAGCTTTTATCTACGCACAATTCGAAAATTCGAGCTCCCGGTAACGTTAGAATTTCGAACATGGACAGATAACGGCGCTGCTGATTGTTAATTTGTACACTGTAGTATGTAGTTTAAAAATTTCTTATTATACAGTGTTATCAAACGACCCAGAATTGTTGCCAAGGCCTAAAGCATGGTGCACTGCTTTTTCATTGAGTTTGGGGCCAAAGTGTACTTATACTTCTCGGATTGTTAATAAAAGAATTGGGTTGCAATATTGGTGGCAATCGATCGTTAATACTCCAAAGTAATTACTTTGTACCCACAGTTAGGTTTCGATTTGATTTGATTTGATTGATTTTTATTGAGGCCGTATGGCTATATGTCATGTCTGGCCCTCAGGTAAATATTCAGAAAAATCATGAACAGTAAATATACATAGAATTAAGGTATAAATAAAAAAGTACAAAAATTTTTATAGATAAGATTCGTAAGATTAAGTAATGCCGCGTAAGCTGTGTATTTAAAAACATAGAAATAATTTGATTTATGCAGGTTGTTAAGAAATTGTGAAGAAAAGTGGTAGAGAGTAAGTATATCAGCTCGATGTCCATACGGCAAGGGTCGATATAGGTGCCAAAACTGTAAGGCAGCACTCAACGGAGAAGACATTTTGACCATTTTTTCGTAAATTTGACCACCATCTAGTACTTAGTGTCATAATTGGAACAGAAAGAGTAGAACTTTTTGACATAAATATTATTTTTTACATTAATGCATTTCGGTGCATACGAGCCGAAGACATTGTCTGAGTCAGTTACTGTGGAAACAAGTTACTGTACGTTATAAAACTTCCATATAATATTGCACTTATAAATAATTTCATAGCATCTGTGAAAATTATTTATTACCAAATAAAAGTATGTTTAAACAGGAAAAAGAACACGATTCATTTTAATTGGTTGAAGAAATCTTGAGACATAATGTAATGATATCACTTGTAAGTTTAATAGCCAAATACTCACTATTTTTGATACTTTTATTACTTTTATCATGAATTTTTGAAGTAGGAACATTCTTATGTACATAAGGTTATGACTAAGTAGCATCAATTTATTCGATGAAAATAAGTATAAAATTCGTTTAATTTGTTTAATAAAAAAAAAATTATAAGATTGATGGACGAAAATAAAATTTAAAAGGCAATATTTTCTTGCTACAACAAAAGTCATGGATGTATTTTTTTGTTTTCATAGCTACATATTCATACAATAAAATTAATTCATGGATATACTTTTACCTGTTTTTATACGCTCATATTTTAATACATCACGTATTTAATTTGTAAAATGGCAGAAGTACAATTATTTTTTATGTTTGATGATAAGGTTAACAAATAAAACACACAACATTCTGAAATATATTTTTATTATTTTTGAAAAATTGCCAAAAATACAATGCGGTATTCCGTTAAAGTTGGAAAAGAATTGCTCAAAATCTTTCAGTACATGGTTAATTCTAGTAAGCATACAGTTAAAATCATGAGAGAATGGCACGGCGTAAGATGTGTGGGCGTGGTCATGATTGATGAAGCTGTGTGTACTCTAATGCATGAATAAAGATAAAAAGAAAAAAAATTCAATGATTAGATAAAAAAAAGTAGATACATTACGACAGCAGAGAAAACGAAATCTTGAAACTATAGTAAAAGCAATAAAGTACTGGTGAGATGATAAATAATTAATACTAGGAAACTGGCTAAGGAACAAATGCACATTGCTTAATGCTTAGCAGCGTATAGATTAGATGGAAAAAGACGCTGGGCGCACGACTACGGATGCATCTACGGTGCGCTTGTACAGTAAAAGAAAGCGATACTAGACATCTACTTCGACTTTATAACTATCTTATTATTCACGTGTGCGAAAATTGTTTCGCACTTCCAGCAAGGCACATTCAATAATGCGTCAACATCATACAGTAGAGCGCATCGACGCAGTTTGCGTTGTGTACTTGCTGCACTGAAATAACTATGAGTCCTATGAGCAATTCCCCGTACACTCGTCAATGAGATTCCAGTCCCACTTGTATGAGCACCTCGGGTGGCATGTGTAACACACCATGCCTACATCGCTCGAGTTTGCGATCACCGCAGAGCAAAACTAGGCCCTCAAGCGAAGACTAGTTCAACCCTTTGGTGTAGTCGGACGTGTCACACCTCACATGTAAGTATTATGGTGCTCACCAGTAGTCCACCCGAAGTGCATTTACATCGCCAATGGATTTGTGGTTGGATTTCTCATTGCTCGGGTTTCACATCTTACGGACTAGAATTTTTTCAGCGCGAGCATAACATGCGCGTGCGTCCTTTTTGATCGAAGCAGGTAAAATACGCTCGCGAGAAGTAGAATAGTCAAGCTTGGTGTACTTTATTTTTTCTCTTTTCGAGTGTTGTTAAAAATCAGCAGGAGGCAAAGCCATGAGTGCAGCGTGAAATCGTTATTTTGGCGCCGAGTATGGCCTTTTCCCCTTTGCATGTGAGACAGTCTTGGCAATAGTCGAAACGCGTCAATTGGCAGTTGTCGGTTTTCGCTCGTCGATTTTCGATTCGAAGCGTCATCGCTTACCCCCGTGTCTTCACGTCACGCCAAGTCAAGCGAACCTTGCGTGAAGCCGTTGGGCTTTTCAAAAATGCTTTTTCAAAAATTCGGCAGTGAAAGCAATCACTCGGTCGCAAAGTGACCTTTTGCACGTGGACGCGTAATCTCGAGGGAAGCGCGCGTCGTCGAAACGAAATCGCAATCGGCGGCGATCGTCATAGTTTCGGCACACGCTACATACGACTGCCGATCGCCGCCCTTAGATCGATGGATTACACAAAAAAAGAAAACCTTAGAAGAGAAGAGAGGATATTAATTTACCAAGCACTATAGTCAAGAAGTAATTATTTACAGATGGTCGAATACGAAGGCTTTCACCGACTGCAATCGAATCTTCGACGCGAGATCTAGTTTACTTTCTTTCTGTTAGAACTTGTTTACTTTACTTTTTTTTTTTACAAAGCTCTTAAGCCGAAGGAAAGAAAACGGATTACCACTAAATTAAAATTTTTAAATAAGTTACTTTTATTGGTTAGTGACTGTTTTATGATATTTTATGTTAAGAATATTATATGATCAGAAATTATTTTGTAAGTTGCAACAGTTAGATTCAAATGAAAAAATAATAAAATGTATGGTGTTAGGGTGTGAAAGTATAAAATCTCTATGTCAGTTATATCTCTGGATTTCATAAATTATTTAAATTGTTTTCGGAATCATATTTNGATCTAAACTTAGTAACTTCTTTTTGACCCTCCCAAAGAGATATCGCGCCATAAAGTTGTGGGGCATGCTCGTCAGTGAGGGACGTAAGAGTAGGAAGAAACTTAAGTGGTAAAGGCATGCAACGCTTACGTAGATGTGCTCAACGACGCAACATCATGGCACACTATGTGATGATGGTGCGACGGTGCGCCGCTCGCTTTTCATCTTCATTATCTTACGTACGATGTATACTCATATGCTGTATAGGCTCGATCTCGAAGCAACGACGGAACTTTTCTAATATTATTTTTGGTTTATCAAAGATTCCTGTCGTCGTTTCGAGATCGAGACTTGTTAACATGATCTTTTTTTTTTTAAATAAAGTTTTAAAGTAACTGATATCAACAGAATAATTATAATAATATTGCTTCACTGCATGCGAATTCTCATGCTTCGTATATAAACATCATCTATAAAATAGTAACTAAAAAATAACTTTCAATATATTCAGGTACTTTATACACACAATATCGTTATAAATAAAGCAGACATTGCGCCTTACAATCTGCAACAATTAAAAGGTAGAAAATATTTTTGTCAGTTTCATCATTTTTTTTTTTTTTTTTTTTTTTTTTTTTTTTTTGTTTAGTCTCAATTTTTACAGCACTTTGGAAATTTTGTTTCTTTGTAATTGACACATTGTTGAATTTTGTTCCCAAAATATATAAAATTTTTGCATCTACACGATTTAAAGGCAAATTCCTAGCTCTAAGTTAATTATCAAATACGATTATCAAAAATTGTATATTACAAGCATATATTGCTAAGATGTAGAAAAATTGCTTATACAACGTTCATATCAAAAGAAATTTAATTTTAACACTAAACTAGTGCCTCATTAAAATTTTACAAACTCCATCGAAGCTCGTGGTACGAAAAATATGATTATTTTGTGTAAATATACATTTTTAAAAATATTATTTAACAAGTATACCTTAATATCGTGTAGTTTTATTATTGTTCTAAAAGTACAAAAGAAAATCAAAAGATTAAAACTGACAAATAAACATTGAATTAAATATAAATCAGCAGCTATGAATAAAACTCATTACAAGCGACGATAAATCGACACCATAAGATTATTATAGCCCTAAAATATATTTATTTACATATATATATTTTTTTTTCTCTTGATAACGACGCAGGTATATATCCAAACGATTACCATGCGATCGTCAAATAGTATACTGGTTTTTACTCGTAAAGTGCAAATATGCAAAATACGTAAGTAAGTACTCTCGTTTTTTTTTCTGTATCTCCGAAGAGCTGTCCATTATCGCAATGGCTACAACTTTCGTGTGTAAATAGTTTGTGCACTCGCTTTCATAACATCTGCGTAAGTCATATATACGCATTTCTTTTTTTTTTTTTTTTTTCTGAAAGGCAGCTCCTTAGGAAATGTCAACGTTTGGATCCCTACATCACTGCAAAGTTTACAACTATAATAGAAAACAACAAGATAAAATCATACAAATTCATCAATATGTATATAATATATGCATATAACTTTGATTTCAAGTATAAAAAAAAATCTTTGTCAGACTCTTAGTCATATATCATGGCTCATTGTATAAATGCCGTTTTTAAGTAGCAAGTTTCAGTTGAAATCTTTTATTATTGCAAATCGATCCTAATGATGATTACCCTTATATAAAAAATCGTATCATCATGAATCGGATGCTTCCGAAAGCTATGTATGTACAGCACTATGTTTACACGGTAAACGTTATCTCTTTTTGCTCAAAATACATACAGATATGTTTTTAATGGAGATAAAAAAAATTTTTTTTTCAACTTACAACATGAAACAAGGATCAATTCGATGAATCGCGGATAAGTTATGCGACGGCGAAATCATCACGCGAGAAAATATTAACAATAGGAGCAGGAAGGCCTTCTCTCTTCATTTTGAATGACTAGTTTACGGTTTCTCTGAACACAAGTTTATGTTCTGTTTCATTTTATTTTGTTTTTTTTTCTTTAACAATTATGGTGCAAGGTACTTTTTTCTTATCCGACTATTAACGTGATTCTTTTTTTACTTTTAATTGGGATTTTTATAAAAAATACTGTCCCAAAAATATCGATGAAGCGGATGGAAGAATCTATTTAAAAAATATTCCATAAAGCCTGCGTGCCGATAGATGAGAACTAATTTCAAAGGATAACTGCAACTAATTTAGCATGCTATGGGCTTTCTGCACATTTTTTTCTGTAATCACTCAAAAATAGATGTACATCTTTCCGACTCAACGAAATTTGCAGTGTACACGACAAATGTTTCTCTTAATGTTATCAGGGACAAAAACTTTGATACATTATGTACAGTGAGAGCAAAAACTGTTTTCCTTTAGGCCACATTTTGGAAAATATCCGTGAATCAAGGCACGTCAGCGCATCATATTAAGCCACTTGTTTCGACTTTACATTAAAATTGGCACGGATTCATAAGCTCAAACTTATTGCTCTAGTCCTATACGATACATATATAGTTCCTTACTTTTACTTCGTAAAAAAATGCCCCTGATTTATATTTCTTTCATTACTATCGTACGTTTGCTTACTTTTTTTTTCTATCTCACTTTTCTACATTTTCTACATTTCTGCAAAAAATCATTCTCAATTTGCCGTGAATAAGTAATCGATTGATAAAATCAGCCCATCAACTCATCACTGACTAATCGCAATTACTTGTTCATGACAAACGATTAACATAACGTTTAGGTATAACACGACGTCCCGATATCATCGACGCCACACCTAAGATCCGCACTTTCAGGCTCATCGACAGACCAAAATTCGTTTCCCTCAAAATTCTCACTCCCACACAACAAGCGGTACGGCTTGAGAATTAAGTCTCTAATGTTGATATTATGTTAACCATCAGTCAGTCTGAAAATGCGAATTCGACCGGAAGCACGGCACCCCCAAACAGCGTGACGTACCTCCGGGGGCTAGTAAGATTCTCCTCCACCATCCAACCCCTCACTCTCTTTTCCTCTACGCCTCCAAACAAAAACCTCGGACCCCTAATTCAAAGGCACGTAGACATTCCACATGGAGCTCCGTCTGTAAACTTCCTTCTTCCCACCATCGTAATTGTAGGCACAGCAGCTCTTGGTATCCTCGTGCAGTGAACGAGCATACTTACCCCCTTTGACCTGTACCAAAGACCCCAAAGCTCTTCAAAGCCAAGAAACTTGGTTCGAGGCTACCACCTTCACCTCCATCGTCAAAATCGCCAAGCGAGGGCGAGTTGCGTGACTCGCCACATCGGCGACATGAGCGTACTCGGGACCAGGTGTAACCGTTCAAACTGGAGGTGGTCCACGGACGTAGCGTAGCTGCGGAGTCAGCGATAGGTTGAGCGAGTTGCTGGCCTCACAGCAGTGCGGCTCGAGTAGACAGGCGGCGCAGAAGAGCACGACCAGGGCTAGCTGGAAGGGCAGGGCGGCGCGCAGGATGCGCCAGACCCAGCTGCGGGGCACGCTTGGCTCGCTGTCTGGGTCGTCCGTGGCTGTGGCTGTTGTCGGACGGGCCTCGCTCATGACTTTTGTTAGTGTCAGAGACTCGAGCTGCGGGATCTTCTTGCGTTTGCTGCAAGTGATGAATGGCTTGAGTCATTTTTTTTTTTTCAGAAAAGTTGAACGCCTTGACAATATTAATTTGTAGGACTTCAGTTTGTAGGACTTTTTTTAAAACTATGGAATTAATAATTACAACTTGTTTGGCATATAAAATACGCACGCACAGAAGTATGTACGTAAACCGTTACATAACTCTTCTCAACTTATATATTCAGTTGATGCAATTAAAAGGCGGAACTGGAGAGCAAATTTGTTTTATTGAAATCTTCTGATAAAAAATTAACAAGATATTCGTAAAGTCATAGAGAAGGGTGGGCCCTTCTGGGCGTAGTAAAAGCAAACGCTAATTGAGTGAATTATCCCGAATGGCCAATACAAATAATGAAAATTGTTAGATTATTAATTCAACGTTAAAAAAAATGTATGTAGAGATTTGAAAGTTCATTACTTAACCGTACATAATATTTTTAAGTTAAAAGTAAAGTAGTTACTATGGACATTTTTACTCCACGAGTTGAGCGTATTTGTTCCGGTGGCTCATTTGGCACGGGCAGATTAAACCAGTTACGATGATGAAAAATGTAATCTTGCATTTATTTGTTACAAATCAAATGAAACTTTTAATAGAAAACAATTACAATAAAAATATTGAGTTTTTGGAGAGTCTTGATTACTTATAATCACAGAAACATGTTTCTTTTTCCATTCGTTCGCAGCTATCGTTTATGGTGGTTTTGTTTGACCGTATTCGAATAAGAGCAATAAGTAGTAATGTTCATCTCTGTCATATACATTGTACATAGTTGACAAGTACAAATGTATAAGCATGTATACCTAATGTATATTTTTGACAAAAGTCTATGAAATTTAGAGATTACGTTAATAAAGTATGCCAAATTCATTTGTAATTAACAAATACTAAAGCCATTGCCATAATTTACGAGAATATTACTTTCAAAAAATCACGAATTGAACGCTTAGACTTATGCGGGAATCGTCAAGAAGTTGACTTTAACTCTAAAAGTATGCTATAGACCTCAAGCAATAAAGTTTATATACTGCTTTTTTAAAGGAATTATTTGGTATTGTAAAATCTATAGTTCGACGACTAAGATTTTGAGAAAGTCGAAAGAAAAGTGATCTGTCGTACTTCGTGTCCACTAATCATTTCACTAGCGCATTGAAATGAGTAGTGAAAAAATGAACAGGACAAAAGTAAGGTAGAGGTTCTTGTGAAATTTAGTCTACTGTCCAAACCCTTGTAACACGATATATAAGATAAAAGGGTTCCCACGTAGGTATGTAATAATCTGATAAAAATCTGACCCTCATGTAAATAGAAAGGACAAACTAATCAGCTTATGGCTTTAGTCAGAAAAAAGATACAAAGGACTAACCTGGGCACGGGGTGGTTCATGTACACGCTGACGGGCCTGGCAGCATTGGCCCTGGCCTCGACACTGGCGGCGGTGCGCACGATAAGCTCGCGGCATTGACTCTGCAGCTCCCTGAGATCGGCCTCAGCCTCCTCGACGCGCCTCCAGAGCTCAGCCAGTATACCGTCGTCGCTACTCTCGGGTGCCAGCTGCGACTCCAGAGTACGGGTGAGCCGACGCAGGGCGGCCAGTCGGCGCTCGCGCTCGCTTAGCTCTTGCTCACTGCCGCTGTCCGAGATCCCACTGTCCGAGAGCGAGCCACCCTCGTGACCCACCAGGACTATAGAGTCGGCGAACGAGGTCTGGTTTCCACCACCGGTTCCACCCGGGGCGTTGGTGTCCGTTGGGACGACTGATTGCTGGAGGGGAGAACGAGCGTTGGGTCAGAAGGGTCGTTCCCATGGTTGGCTTTGCCGATAACTTATTGGCAATTCTCGTCAGGAAATGTATACACGAGCATGTCTTACCTGATTGTTGACCTCGTGCTTCTCCGAAAGTAGCCGAGCCACGTCCTTGACCGAGGAGGCGACCTCCATCGTGGCTCCGGCCTTGAGTGCCGCGTCCAGAACGGCCAGCGTGTCCTTGTCCCTTCTGAGGGCGCTCTGCAGCTCCGTGAGGCGCATCCCGAACTGCTGAATCGCTTGTAAGGCGCACAGCTGCTGGTTACCCCTGGGAACGGATTTTTTTTTTATTTTTTGCGTTCTTACTTTCTGAATCAAACTGTTTCTTTAGTTTTCATTCGATTTTTTTGATTTTGCAAAACAACGTTTAGGTAAAATATTTCTGCACGGTAAAGTTTAATCGTCTCGTATGTAACCCTGCAATAGTGAGATGAGAGCTCGCATTCCTGGACCGTATACCGTGAATTGCCTGTATACGCCAAATGCCTTTTGTATTGATCACATTTTTGTATGTTTAAGTGGAATGTGAACAAAAATTAAAAAACACGACTCGCTAGAACTTTTACTTCACCGTGAAATGAATATGTGCGTTTATTCATAGGTGCGGTCATTTTCAACAAATTATAATTCCTATATGTCGCGATGAAATTATGTGCAGCGAGAAAAATTGAACTCGTGACTCACTTTTGGAAGGCCTCGTCCCAGAGCCTGTACAGATCCGCAACTCCATCCTTTAGGGCGGCAAATGTAGGCGACGTCTTTTGACCGAGATCCGTGATGAGACGATGTGTCGAAACGTTCAAAGCCAGCATGGCCGGCTTTCGATCTCTCAAATTAGCCAATTCGTTCTGAAATCATTTGAGCACAACATTTGTTTATAAATACCTACGCCTCTTGTCACCACCACCGCTCGATCGATCGATCGACCCTTGCGTATATTTTTTAACATTGCTCGCATGTGCTCGTATTTTTTAAAATCAAATGATGTTTATAGGTATGGAGGATAGTCTAACGTGTCCTGCCGAATAAACCTTCAGGACGTTCACTCACGTTGCCTGATTGTAGATAAAAACTATGGAATATAAATGGTAAGTTTTAATCCACGAAATTTTAGTTGGGTTAGTTGGTCAACCAGCCAGTGCGCACGATTACTTTACTCGGTTCGTCTGACGAGTATTATGAATGCAATGTTTGGGTCTTAATGGCAACTTTGAGAGATCAGACCGATCGGAGATGAAACCGAGAACTTTCCGATTGAAATTCCTAACCAGAGTACGCGTACAACAAAGGAGCCCGTCAAACGTTCGCTATCGCGCATCGCAGCTACCGAGATCTCTTATCCCTGCATCGCGCGAATCACCAAACTCGCGCTCGGCTCGTCAAACTTTCACCATGAGCCAGTCGTTAATCAGCCAGTCGCTGCGGTAATCACCCGATTTCCACGCAAACGAAACCGTCTCCACTGGAGGAGAAAAGCCACGTACGCATCCCCCGTTGGTATGGATGTAGGATCGCGTGCGCGCTTCTGGTTTTTTTCTTCGTCGCGATCGGTGCTTTTCCGCCACTTTTACGTAACGCGCGACGTCTTGCTTTAATTGCCAACGTGGAAGGTCTGGCTCTTTCTTCCAATCGGTGAAAAGAGAAGGCAACGAGACACGCGACTGCACATTGTGCCAGCGAGTTTTTCTCTTTTGTGACGCAATACTTTCTCCTTGGACAAGTGATTCGAGGAAATGCGCGAGCTCATGTTTAGAAAGTTCAATATCCACCCGCGATCCACCGGAATGCTAAATTCTGTCAGTAAAAGAAAGCCGAGTCCAAGGTATAAGTAATTGTTTCTTGGTAGGAATACGCGGAGCTTGAACGAGCGTTTCGCCACGATTCCCCTCTAATGATGATTACGTTCTGCAGAGCTTGGCCATCGACACGACTTCAAAATTCTCCAAAAGGCGCATCAATCACGCAGTGGGGTAAAAAGCACGGCATCGCGAGATTGGATGTGCATCCACGTGCCGATGCAAGACAAGAGTGCGAAATAACAATCCCACCTGTCACGAATCCACATGTTCTTTCCCAATCGCAAACACGCCAAGTCGGAAGAAGACGCGCCGAACTTTCACTCACAAAACACCAAAGTCCCACCGAAGAAAAGACTTAAACTGACGTTAAGGAAAAGTCCGTAAGAAGAAACCTCCTTCGTTTCTCTGTCCCTCGTTCTCGAGATTGGACAACACGTCAAACCAGTTGCTCCGGTCTCGCCCTTCGATCATCACCACCTGTTCTCGGGAACCAGTTTTTCTCCCGGAAAAATCTTCGAGTCGATCGCGAGCCAAAAATAATCGCTACATCACGGAATTCCTCGGGATTCAGTTGTTTTTTTTCGAACACGTAGTGTACATAGGGATTCCACGGACTCGTAAGGGTCGTATAGAGCAAGAGATTCGAGTTCTAGGTGACTTTGACTAATAACGGAAAACACAGGAAATGACGAGTAGGCGACTCTGATCGATGGATAACTCCTCGCATAGTAAAGCAGATTCGTGTAATTATACTTGTTTGCGTGAGGATTATTATAATACTTCTCAAATATGAGATGCAACTATATGCAAATGGTCGTATTTTATCAATGATTCGGGAAATACATACTGCCATATATTAGATTATGAGGTTAGGCAAAAAGTAAGTAATAATAAATTTTGGTTAACTTGGATCAAATGAATCGGAAAAATCAATCTCATCGTGTTGTTTACCAGGAAATTATACTAAACTGTGGTCTTACCGTAATCCGACTGATGCGATCTTCGATGACGTGCGGCTCCTCGAGAACAACCCTGTGAGCCACGAACCGATCGTGCGCCGCGCAGAACTCCATCTTCATGGCCGCCATCTCCCGGTGTATCGCGTTGACCTTCTGTGCCTCCTCGGCTCTCAGAGAGAGTGACTCCCATCTTTCCATCAAGCCTGGAACCACAGAAAACAAGAGCAAATGTTAATCGGACGAGCGTGGCTTTCTCTTCTATTCCCTAAGATCGAGCGCGAGATCTAATTCTCACTCTTAGTACCCCTACTCCCTGGCCTAAAATGATTTAATTGTTACCCATTGTACTTGAGATTGGATAAAAAGGCGGAAGATCCTTAAATACGTACTCTCAGAAGCGAATCTGGGCTAACTTCCGAGAAGATTCGAAATGCGAACACTCTGACGCTCTGTTTACTCATTTACAGTTTTCTTTGTCACAATTTGCAATGTGATTCCTTCAGCGAACCATAAAGTAGGCGAGTCTAAAACGGGTCGCCTACAGTCTTTGACGTAATTGCACGCGAGTGTTTTGCAACAACAACTAGCGAAACACGCGTCTAATTGTTCCTTTTGATCAGTGAAATATAAATACAAGGAGCGCAGATAGCGAGCAGCCAGTTATAATTGCCGACCACCACGCGCTCTATTCTCGGCGGAGCGCGTCCTCAGGCAATTAAGGAAACGTATGCTTAGCTGCAAAGCGTGCATGCCGGAGTATGTGAGTTTTTCCTGACCAACATTCTAGGGGCAGCGCATAGAGGTTCCCGGATGTATATGATTTTTTTCAGAGAATAACAGCTGGATTGGCTTAATAGCACATTTACACAACTGCACAATTCCTACGTTGGCTGGGTTGCGTGCACGCTCTGATTTTTTTTGTTGTCGAGTACACGTGTACACGATACACTGCGAGCTCGCAACTCATTTTCGAACCAATGTAAAATTTTTCTCTTGGGACGATTTGTAGGAATTTTAGTTTTTCCGCGGTTTCTCTAACTTCCCTGTCTACGCTTGTTTCTCAAAACCTTTGCTTCGGAATTACCGATGCGTATAGGAAATTCGAGGTTGTTGTACTGGCACTGCGTTTCATTTTGCTTTGGAGGAGGTGAAAATACCATCATGTGGTCGTAATTTTTGTATTCAATTTAAAAACATTTTAATTTGTTAGATGCTATATTTTACATACCAATCAACAGTCGGTTTTATTGTTTTGCCGATACAAATCAAGATGTTAGACTCTGTGTTGCTAAGTTTGATGTTTACGTGGAAAAAATTGTGGTATGAAATATAAAATATTACATTTAATGTGTCAATCAAAGTTCAGAAGTTTTTGGAAAATATAATTTATATCACTTTACAAAAGATCTCGTACTGTATTTTATGATATAAATGGTTATAATCTTAGTTGCCTTGATTAAAAATGCAAAAGTCAAGACCTCCAATAAATGAATAGTTTTCCCGACAGATATAATGCAACAAACCAACACCTCAGTTCTTATAACGGACAACAGCATACTACGTCAGAACCAATAAACAAAATAACGAAATTAATAGTAAACACAAAGAGAACTTTTTACCAAAAAAGAAATACTTTATTATTCCAATTATGAAGAATAAGCTGACGAACTTATAAAAATCATTGAAGAGAACAGCGTATTATGTTCATTTTTCTCTTACACTGTCCTCGTAACCGTCAACACTCAAGGTGCACCCACCTATAGATGACTACGCTCATTATGCAAAAATACCCATTTGCACACACCACACAAGACGCCCAACCGACCTTCAATCCCTGTTGTAGACCCACTCAATCATCGCAGCCTCCCCAGACGTCCACGACCACTGGCACAGAGCACGATATCAATCCGCGACCTCATTCCTACCCACCTATACCCAACCGTACACGATCCACATAAATCCCCCTGATTGCGAAATCACCGGCAGAATGCGACGTAACAGTAAAATCGGAGGCTCGGCCAGTTCCCCATTTTCCTTCAAATACTGCAGTAGTGTTTCTCCTTCTATCCATCCCTTCGCACGTCACGGACGAGACAACGCGTCTGGGTCAGCGTACTTTCCACGAAGCCGACCAACGGGAAAACCACTCGGCGGAAGTGCAACACGCAATCTGGACCTTCCCGCCGACCACGATGGAACCACTGTACATTATGGTGCGCTCGCGAGTGCCAGACGTAAATTGGAATATTGGTACCTCACATGGATGGGAGACGAAGGGGGATATGGGCTCAGGCCTCTAGAAGTAAAAGTTTCTTCTCACTCTGGCGCAGTGCCTGATGACAAAGCCTCGATAAACCTACAGTGATAGAAAAAAATTATCTGCATGTATTCCATCGTTGCGTGTATACAGGTGGGACGGTGGAACTTACTCAAGACGTTGGGCTGTGACTTTCGCAAATGCTACAGGGATGCATATTCTTAAACATCTGTCGAGATGTTTCTGGTCGATTGCAGAAAGTTTGGTAGTAGCTTTTTTCAGTGAAACAAAAATACCGTCTTTATCGAGTATTCACCTGTTGCCCGGATGTCGGTGATTGCCAGGAGGCATTATTTCATGTTTATCGCGTACTTTGGGAGTAAAATGACTCGTGGAAAGGAATTTCGCGTCTTTGGGCAGTTGCGGCGATGATGGTTTTTAAAACAGGTAAGTACAGGTGAGCGTACGAGGGGAGATTTGCATGAGAATCGGAACGCCATGTGCGTGCGAAACTTACTTTTAACAGTTACGGAAATTTTACCCGCAACGAAAGTCGGAACATAGGGCAATTAAGTTTTCCGTAATAACCGTACGACAGCGATAAATGGTCATTTGCATGCGTCCGAAGAATATCGAGCGATTAATCACGCGCGTCCTCGGCGTTGCCGTTTTTAAATGAAAGCCCATTGTGCCAGGATTTTCTCTCGAGCGATGCGATCTTCCATCGATGCAGCTTTTCTAATCTCGTGAAACCGGTACAGGATTGCCGTTTGGCGCGAGCTTGTCATTACAAAAAAACAATTTTGTAAGCGACAAGCACGTTCAACGTGATTACTTTTCGATCTCTAATTATGCATCCACTCTTGCTAATAACACGTTTTAGATATTAATCTTTCGAAGCGATAATACGTTGCATGGTTCAACGCTGTGCTGCACTACAAGCATGTATGTACGTTTATGTATATACATTTTATCCCCTCGTAGAAATTGAGCCGATTTGACAATGCTTGTGACTGTACAAGGATTATTATTTAAAGCTAAAAGTATCCACCTGTGGTCAAAGCTCTTAATGGTCTGCCACTTAAATTTGGACTTTCTATGTAATTGAATTTTCTCATTTCTACGAGTTTTTACGAATACATCAAAATATAGTTTGAGATCAACAATAGTATCGTATAAATACAAAGGTATCAATCAACATTATAGTCAACTTTGAATCGTACCTAGCTTTATGATAAATATTTCCAAAACCAATGGATTACTTAGATATAATCAAAATGAGTATTGAATATTGGATGGATTCCAAGTAACCATCCAAAGTCACATACGCTTTGTGTGACCTCCGCAATTTTATTTTTATTTGAAATTGAATTATCTTAACTGACGTTCAGATATCCATGAAACTAGTAAATAACAAACTGTTTATGGAACTTTTTTTATAGAACGTAAAGACTCAAAAACGTATTTACGGAGTTTAAATTAATAATGCTAATTAACAAAATTCTCAATTCTCAAAACTTTATCATTTGCTTATTAAAATTTTCATGGAAAAAGGTCCCAATGTTTTTTGTGCAAGCACAAAAATTTTGTAACTTTTAGCAAAGAGCAAGTGAATAAATATAGTGAACTTTTCCCATGAATTTTTGCAATAATTTTTTATTGATGATTAGAGTATGATTATTTTTGGTACAACTTTCAATTGAGTTTTGAACGAGATTATATACAGTTACATGCCAATATACTGATATTACTGCCTTAAATAAAATTGGAAAATAATGTCGTGAAAATATTTAAACAATGTTCATATCGAATAAAGAGAACATGCTCATTAATCAATGGTTATCGGGAAGACTTGATAATAATTTATGAGCTAAGATCAAGCCTCATAACTGTAAAAGGTATATCGTACGTTAAAGATACATCATACCCTGCATCGATTTGCTTAAATTAACCCACCTACGCTTCCATCTAATTCACGTATGAATGTGAAATTTATCATCCCCACGCTGGATGCTCGTTTCAAATGACATGTAGGATGTATGTGAATCTTATGCTAATCCGTATATGACAAGTACGAAAGCGAGAGCAGTGAAAATGGAATTCTCTCATAGCCAACCTTTTTATTGCGAAGGAATAAATTATATCGATACTCGGAAACTCGCAGACGTCACCATTAGGATTTTCATATCCCTTGTAAAATCTAAGAAGCAATCTTAATCCTTGGTATAAGATCAAAGGAGTATCACATCATCTCATATCACAAATGTGATACTCTCTGGTATTACGCTCATGATTAATATCTGACAAAGTGGAGATATTAGGAAATGATAAAAGATTTGATGAGAAGCAGTTTCAAGCTGGCACATCAAAATAATCAAAGGAGGCGTTAAAACCACGACATGTATACAAGCATTTCAAATGACAAAGAAGTATTTGATGTCTCATAAACAACGAAACACTTAACAATTGGTTCTAAGCCTTTGAGTCGTTTAATCATCGAATTTACAAAATAAAACACGTCAGTGCTAGGCATCAAAATATTCGGACTCACAGCACTAATCAGTTGTACACAACCATGGTTGTGTAATGCACTGAAATGCAAAACAACTGGTAATACGCGACGAAACCTGAAACCACAATCGAATCAAGTGTATACGTCACACTTGTCTTGCGGCGTAAGCAGGTAGCTACAAAATTATGCCACACGCAACCCACTGAGAGCCAAATTTATTTGATTCGCAAACAACACGTCTCAATCACCTTCCACCAGCCAAATCTTCAACAGGTAACGTGACACCGGCCCGTGGCATAAATTAACGCGCCACTTCCACGATTCATCGGACGGTGGCTTGAATGGCTATCTTGGTCGTGGCGCAAACGTAAACACACCGATCAAAAGAGTCGGGGCTGACGTCAACACTAAAAACGAGTCAGAACCTCAAGTGA